AGTCACAGCTGCAATGTGTGGAGATTTATGTTAATTTATCATTTTATGTCTGTCACAATGTTATTAAACAAACAAGTACCCTCAGGTATTCCATCTTTAAGACCAGTCCAACAATAGCGAGAAATGAGTTTAAGATTAAAGAGATTTTGTAGCTATAGTTCCAATTTGTGTGTCTAAACATCTTTGATTCAAATCTTTGAACTCCTTTCCTGACTTTTCTGTCCATAGTGTTCTTCATTTTTGCTTCTGTATTTCCTTGATTACCAATGTATCCATTCCTGTGTTCTTTCCCCATCTCCTATTAGCTCACTAGCTTTTTTTTTCCAATGTCACTTGTCCTTTTTCAGTAGAACAAATAATAGAAGCAAAGAATTCTCAAATTTCCCAATTTCTTGCTCTTCCAAAGTATTTATATCTAGGCAGTAACGAAGTAAATAGGTAGAAAAGCTCTAGTCTCAAATGTTGCTTGCTCTTGGTACTAACCCTCCCCCCACCACACACATTATTAGAATAATCATTCCTTTTGGGGCAGTCAAGTAGTCACATGTCATCCTGCATAACAATAGAGTGAGTCATTGCATCTGTGCGAAATTATAATTTGCCTTATGTAATAGTCAGTACAGACAGTACCTGGTTAATGTCTGCATGATGTTATTTAATATGTAAAATGCTAGGTATAAAGAGAGAGTATTAGGGTATCTTTGTACCCTGCAACTTTTCCATAGCAGTTGTTTGCTATAGTAATGTAGATAGAAAGGCACAGCAGCTGCAAAAGTTTTCTCAGCAGCATGTGATCAATGTGGCTATGTCTAGACTGCACTGTTAAATCGGAAAAAGATACGCTACTTGTGGTACGCAAATTGTATATCTTTTTCCAATTTACTTTCAAAAGAGGCTCTTTCGAAATTTGGCGCATCTACATGGCCATCCCTTATTCCTCATAAAATGAGGTTTACAGGGATGGTGAAGAAGAGTGTGTCTGCTTTTTTGAAAATTTTTCTGAAAAAGCAGACATGTTCCTTGGACTGGAGGTATTCCAAAAAAGCAATGCAGTCTAGATGGAGCCTGAGTTTCTCATTTTCATGATCTCTACTCTACAATATTTGGCAATAGAGATCATCAAACCTGCAGCAATAGTTACTCCCCAGACTCATTCAAAGTAATTACTCCCCAATGCTTCCTGCTGTGACTGGCAGGTGGAAACTGTTGGCTTCTAATTAAAGTTAGAATTGTAGAAGCCTCTGTTGATTGGCTGAGCCTTGGTAGAGGGAGGGACTTTCAGGCAGTCCAGGGCTTTATAAAGCAGTGAGCAAGCTACCAAGGAGCTTGTGAACAGGTGAGTGCTAACAGGGAGTTTAGTTCTCAGCAGCATGTGATCAATGTGGCTATGTCTAGACTGCACTGTTAAATCGGAAAAAGATACGCTACTTGTGGTACGCAAATTGTATATCTTTTTCCAATTTACTTTCAAAAGAGGCTCTTTCGAAATTTGGCGCATCTACATGGCCATCCCTTATTCCTCATAAAATGAGGTTTACAGGGATGGTCTCTTGCCTTTCTTTTAAATCCTTTCTCCAAGACAGCAGGTATGGATGGTGATAGGTCTGCTGTTGTTACCTGCACAGTGTGTGCCAGGTTTGTCTTCCTCCTGGAAGAAAGAACGGATTTCATCTGCACTAAGTGCAAGCTGGTCGCCATTTTGGAAGAAAAAGTTAGAGGACTGAAGGCCCAAGTGTCGACCCTATGCTCGATCAGAGAGGATGAAGACTTCCTCGATAGAAGGCAGCATTTAAGCCTGCAAGCACGGCACGTGGAAGAACCAGAGAGGGCAGTACGGAACCAGGGGGAGAACTGGTAGCATGTAACTTCTAGAAGGGAAAAAAGGCCAGCACGGGAATCCCCCAATGCTATTGAGGTAAGTAATTGCTTTCAGGCTCTCTCCACAGGCTCTGCAGTGGTGAATGCTTTGGAAGGGACCTCACAAGGAAGAAACCGGAAGGGAACACCATCTACTGGAAGGCATGGGATGCATAGTTCTAGGGATGGGGGTTCCATGACCACACCCCCAAAAGAAGACGATGGGTGGTGGTGGTTGGGATCTCCTTCCTAAGAGGGACTGAGCCATCCATCTGTCGTCCAGACCTGGAATCTCGAGAGGTGTGCTGCTTACTGGGAGCTCGAATTCAGGATGTGACTGAGAGGCTTACAAAACTGATCAAACCTTCATATCGCTATCCCTTCCTGTTTCTCCACGTGGAAGCTAACAGTACGGCCAAGAATGACCTTGAGCGGGTTACTGCGGATTATGTAGCTCTGGGAAGAAGGATCAAAGAATTCGGAGCGCAAATGGTGTTCTCGTCCATCCTCCCTGTTGAAGGGAAAGCACTGGGCAGGGATCATTGAATTGAGGAAGTAAATGCATAGCTGCACAGGTGGTGTCGCAGAGAGGGCTTTGGTTTCTTCGACCATGGGACTCTGTTCAGGGCACAAGGATTGTTAGGAAGAGATGGGATCCACCTAACCAAGAGAGGAAGGAGCATCTTCGCGGGCAGGCTTGCAAACCTAGTGAGGAGGGCTTTAAACTAGGTT